GTTATAGGGGCAGAAGAACTTCAGATTTATTCCTTTGGTTTTACTGAGCCTATGGATAAAAAGCTAAAAAAGGTTAAAGTTTTTTTAGAGATATAGATGTATCTGGAAAAATAATAACTGAAGCTCTTGAAACTCCCTCCCATTAGCCAAGCTGTTTGTGTGCTAGGAAAAGAAATATTTTATTATTGTAATTAAAATTTGATAAGACTTGCTGCTACAAATAAATAAGGTCATAGCTCTCAAATATCAGTTTTAATGATTTTTATTGGAAAATATTCACTGGGAATGTTAAAAGATTATCAAAGGGCCTTGTTGCTTCTGAAACCTTATTTGATTGCACTGTAAGTGGAACTGAAGCTTTAAGTAATGCCTCTACATTCACTCCACATTTGCAATAATGGATGTAGTTGAGAATATTTCACATGCACATAATTTTAAAACTAGTGCAGCTTATAAAACATTATGGAATTTGGATGTTATTGGATCAGTTGACTCTGCAATAAATGAAAATTACAAAGAAGTTATGTAGGGATTTGAAGAAGGAACTGAAATAAAAATAATCATTATAAAGTTTCATTACCTTGGAAGGATACGGTCATCAAAATTGCTAGTAATTATAATATTAGCTTAAACAAACTGTTTACTGAGAAGTTTTAAGAAAACCCCTAAAACTTATGACAGGTATTAGTGATTTAATTCGCAAAGTGAAGATTATCTAAATAAAGGAATAGTGGAAAAGGTTTCAAAGAATTCTATAGGAAATATCTATTTTTTACCTCCTCCTTGTATTATCAGAGAAATCACAATTCTATGAAGTTAAAGGTTGTATTTGACACTCATGACAGTGTATCTTTAAATGATTGCTTTCATTCAGAACCGAATATAAATTATGATTTAATAGATTTGCTAATTAATTTTCGTCAACATAGAATAGCATTTGCTGCAGATATTGAAGCCCCTAATTCAGTTGAAACCTAAGGACAGAAATGCTGTAAGATTCATTTGGGTTCCAAAGGAAAAGGAACAGCCGATGATTTTAAGAATGGCATATGTAATATTTAGTGCAATCTGCAGTCCCCTTTTGCTTGCAGCAACTATAAAGCACCGCACAATAAAGTTGAATTCACAATACTCAAAGATTGGTCAGCTTCTTGAAATAAGAATTTGTGTAGCTGATTTGATGCATGGTACAGATGGTGGAAGAAGAGATCGTAGAAATTTATGAAGCTTTGGAAAACATGTTTACTAGTATCAATATGAGAAAGTGGAGAAGCAATAATTTCCGATTACATACAATTTGGAATGTAACTGAAAATGTGAAATTTAATGAAAGTAGAATGACTAGTATTGCGTTAGAATATATCTGAAATTGTGATGCAGATAGATTAAAATTTCGAATCTGAGATGAACTGATCCAACTGAGAAAATAAAAAAATAGAAGATGCTTCGAGTTGTAGGCGAAATATATGATCCTATCAGTTCCATATCTCCCTTTAGAATGATCCTAGCTAGAATGATGATACAAGAAATGTTTTCAAAGGAGATAGCAGTGGTATTTATTACTTGACCAAGAATTTGCAAAGCTAATTTAAAGGCTGGTACAGTCAAAAGTCTTTAATTCGGACTCTTCGGGACTTCGATGATTCCGGATTATCGGTTTTTCCGTAATATAGATCATCAGTTTAAATCTGGTAAGATGGCATGCAGAAATTATAAAATTAAAAATAAGAAACTAATTTATGAAATAAAGAGAAATTATGCTCTAAAGGGTATCAAAATTTACAAAAAAAAAATGATTAATATTTATTTGTTTACTTTATAAAACATTTCTTTCAACGCGCGCATGCGTAAAGCAAACATTACACATAGTCAAAATTAGAAAATTGCAACCAGAAAACTATTTGATTTTGATTTAAATCATATCAAAGACGAGATGAAATATTACATTTAGTAAGGATTATAAGCCGAATAAAATAAAAGCATTTGCCCTGAAGATAAGGATAGTGCTGACAGATCAACTTCCAGTTCATTGTGAGTGCAACCCCCCTCCCCCCAGAGAGCAGCGTGAAATTGATAAACAGACTTTGGAATGGTTAGAGAAACAAAGGATATGCTTTAATCCATTTTTTGCAGCAATTCCACTTTTTTTTTTTTTTTTTTTTTTTTTATGGACATCAAAACAGGCTTTTGCTTTGTAGATCCTTTGGCAGCTCCAGAATCGGAAATTGTTTTTGACATAAACGAAAGTTCAAGCTTACTTTTATAAAATTGTTCTAACAGTCTGCAAAAAATAATAAGTCTGATCCAATTAGAAGATTAAGGAACAACGCAGTCTGCAACATTAACTGAAATAGATAATTTTAGTTTAGTTTATACCATCCATTATACATTAAACGCGCATGTGTAAATGCATTATGCGTTTACTCATGTGCAAAAAGTTTGTGGCTTTGAGGTCCGGATTAAAGACTTTTGACTGTATTATGAAATTTAAGTAAAAAAATACTGAAATTCTAAGACATTATTTTAACAGTCTATTAAGAAATAATATGTTAAATATTGAATTGCACTGTATTACAGGTAAGCCAAAGGGGCTATGCCACAGTTGGATATTTGAGATACTTCGAAAATAAGCAAATAAAAACATCATTTGTCATGTTCGAAACAAGAGTGACCCTCCCACAAAGAAAGTTATACATTACCTCAATTGGAGCTTTTAGGAGCTCAGTTCGTCACATTTATCCGACACTCATTGAGGAACTTAGAAATGAAGAAATATCTGTGGACAGATTTAGAAATAGTACTGCATTGTGTGGAAATACGGGCTCAGCTGTGAGAATCCATTGTACTTGTTGATAAGAAGACAGAGAGTGAAAGCCCGCTCAAAAATTAACTATTGTCGTATGGCCTATCTTGGCATGTTACAGATAACATCTTTTGTTCATATCTCCAAGAATTCGTAATGAAGAGGATAAAGTAGCCAATTGTGAGAAACGAAAAAGAAGGAAACAAAAAATCTTCTGCAAACTGTGTTATTGAAAAGCGTGTAGGTACCTTTTTTGTCGAAAGTTTCAGTGACATAAATATGTAGAATAACATCTTATGTTTCCAGATTTATCAATAATATGAAAACCCAGAAATAAGAAGAACTGGACTTGTCAGTGCTGAAGAGATAACTAAAGCTTACAATTTCTGGATAGGGAAGGCTTAGAAAGAAGAATTAACAAAGAAAATATAAAGAAATTAAGGCTGAAAAAAGGCACAGACTAATCAAAATCTCATTAAACCCATTTCTTGACTCAAATATAATACTCAGAGTACTGGAAGGCTTCAAAATGCAAGCTTGAACTATAAACAAACACACCCGCCAATATTACCTGAGAAGTGTCATTTAACAGGTCATGTAATTAAAGATTGTCAGGAAATGCTAGAGCATTCCAGTGGAGCTGAAACCTTAAGTTAGAGAGAAATTTTGCATACTACAAGGTTGACAGCGTGTAGAGAGTAATGACAACTGTGTGGTTTCCTGCAGATTTAGGGCAAATGTCAAGGTATCATTTCATTACCAGCTTAAAGAATAACTGAAACAATCTCTTTGAAGCTGTTGTAATCACTTTAGCTGGTCCTTTGATTGCAAAGAATTAAATTCTGCAGGCCTTTATTTCTCGGTATACATGCGCTATAACAAGACCGAAAAGTTTTCTTCTGCCCTTTAGGAGATTTATTTCATCGAGTTATTTATTATGTTGAGTGATATATTCAGACAATGTGAAACCTTTTAAAGGAGAATATAAGAATTTACAAAAGTTATGGAATACTGTCAAGTTTAGAAGTTCAAAATTATTTTGGTAATAAAGATATTGAGTGGAGTTTCGATGTGTAGAATGCGGCCTGGTAGGAGGGTTTCTGGGAAAGGCTAATTTAGATAGGTCTATCAAGTCATGTTTGAAGAAAGTACTAAAGAAAGCTTCACTTAAAGTTGAAGAGCTGGAAACTGAAAGTCGGGCAATATTAACTTTGTGTCTTTTTATTTATGTTTATAGTGAAAACCAGAACCACTGACACCAAATCATTTTCTAGCTGGATGAAGACAGACATCTTTGCTATCTGGCAAAATTCTTAAACGAGATTCAACTGAAGAAAATTTAAAGTGATATAAATATCAGCTAAGATTATTAGAAGCTTTATTTACTAGGCTTAAAAGTAATATTTACTTGAAATTAGAAACTTAAGGCAAATTCAGAGAGGTAATGGCATTACAGATCTTTTGAAGGGGTCTGTAGTTCTAGTACATGAAAAATAAAAATTACCCAGATTATTATGGAAGTTGTACAGGAGTGTCATCCAGGACGAAATGGAAACGTAGAGCTTGCACTTATCTGTTTAGCTAATAAAAATCATCTGCATTTTCCAGTACAGTTATTGTAGAAGTGGCTTGAGCTGTATATACTGAATGCAGGGAATTTAAATTATGAACAATTATTCTATGAACATTTAAACTTTTAAGAACATTAAAAATATTTAGTGTTTAAGATTACTTCAGTGTTAAATTTAAATTAGGGATACGATTAGTCAATCCCTTGATGATCCAAGAGTTCGAGGGGGGCGATATTAAAATTTCAGTATTACACAGTTTATTTGAGATGTAGTGGCAACAGCAGAAAAAAAGATTAATGTTCTGTAAGCAAACAAATTGTAAATGGCTGTGAATAGAATTTTCTGTGTGATAAAATGCAAAAAATTCTAAGTACCCTGTAGATTTCTTTAAAGAAAGGTAGGCAAAAAAGTTTTCTTATTATCAAATATTCTTAAGTGTTGAAAGTAAATTTAAATAAATAAAACAAATCACAAATTTGAAGGAAAAAAAAAGGTGGAATAACCATTTTAAGGATTGTGAAGTTTAAAGTATTCTGGTAATGTCTTTTTATAATAATATAGAAATAAGGTATTGCTTCTTGCTTTTCTGTTTTAACTGTGTAATTCATTGTAATATCCTTATGCAGGAATGTTATAGCTGAGAAGGATAATCTCAGGCAGAATGTCAAATCCCAGGAAAAATTTGCTGAACTAATGCACAAAGTAGGATCCAGTTTGTTGTTATAATTTCTTTTTAATATTTTTTCTGTTGTATGAAGAATAAGAAAATATATACTTCTCTTATAGATTGTTAAGTTAAGTGAAGAGTTTTATCAGTTACTACCTATATATGGCTATCAGTATGAAAAACTTTGTCCCTTGTTTGGTGCTCCAGATGTGCATTCAAAGCTTGTACTGATCCATAATTTACTCCATATTGGATTATCTTCAAAACTCTTATTAGGAGCTAGTTTCAAATCATCAGGTAAAAATATAGTATTTTTATCCCCTATAATGTTCTTTGACTAAATTGAATTGAAAAATTTCAATGTAGTTTATATTATATTGCATGTAATTTTTAAAATATGTAAATTTTAACCTTACACATGTCATCAAAATTAAACGATAATGAGAAAAAGTGTGCTCACAAAGTTAATGTTGCAACCAGTGGCCAATGCTGTAATTACTTACATTAATTAAATACAATTGAACACAAAATTACACTTCTGTGCATATGTTAGTGCCAGAAATATGCAAATTCAGAACCATATTAAACCATATAAAAACACCATATTTAAAAAAAAAAAAAAAATTTCCTCTTTTTCATAAATTTGGTTTTAATTTCAATATTTTGTGAATAATGAACTGCCAAACATTGTATTTATGTTAACTAATGGTTTTGTACAAATTTCTGTTATTTAAATAATTAAACATTCATAAGAAATTTGAAACTGAGCTGAGAAGAATAAATAAAGTGATGTAAATATTAAATGTGTCTGAAACAACAGACTTTATTTTGTGTGATATGTACATATATAGGGCAGCTGCTCATTCTCCAGGTTATTAATTATTAATTTTAGCCTTTACTAAAGGAAGTGTTTTTCAGTAATGAAATTAAATTGTCCATATAAAATGTGCACAGTGTACGTTTCATTATTGAATTAATAAGGCTTAAATTATGCAAATTTTAGTCCTCCATCTCTAGTAGTCTGCAACATATTTTTTTTGTTACATTTTATTTGAACTGAATCTGCTCTACTCAGAACTTTATACAAAGATTCAACCAAATTTGCAATCATTAAGTATTTGCATTAATTTTGTTTTATCAATATGTAGAGGCATTAGCTCCATTTCAAAATAGGAAACACAAAAACTGTGCAATGCCTTCACCAGTGTTCAAACTGCAAACCTTTTAATTGTTAGCTAGACAGGCTTCTAACTTCAAATCCTGATGATGTTGAATTATCGTCTAATACATTTTAGTTTGAATCACCGTAGAGTGAATTTTTAGAGGCAGGAGATGTAAAATATGTGCAATGCTGTTGCTGAAATTTTAACTTCCGGACCACCTGATTGCTAGCAGGATGTGCTTCCACTTACATCATGAAGACACACAGTAAGGGGGGGAGTATTTTACAAATATGTGGTACACTGCTTAGTCTATCCAGGCAATAGTACTCATTTTAATTATTCATTTCATTTTTACCGTGTTTAAAAGTATGTTGATAAATTGAAGCTTTCTTTCCTACTCTGAATTTTCTTAGTATAAAAGTGTAATAAAATTACAAAATGAAATTAGACATAAAAATTAGAATATGTTATTAGTATATTTTATATCAGAATTATAACATAAATATTTGAATAAACTGATACATGCATTATAAAGAGAATTTAAATCAATTTTGAATTCCTTTAAAATGATGCCTCCATGCAGTGTGAAAATTCCCCCTTCCCTCCCCCCCCCAAGGTGGGCAGTTATGATTTAAGCAAGATTTTGTTATGAGTGCTACTCATTATTTGTTCTTGTGGCTTTTCATTTCGATGTATACCAGATTCTAGAGTAGAAGCATTGTTTGAATACTGTATTGTTAAGCTTTATTAGCAATTTTGGAAAATGCTGTAATGTTTAAATTCTTAAAAAAAAAATAGTAATTTAGAAGTTATAATTTTTCCTTTGAAATGCAGATATTATGATTATACTGAATTCTGAATAAACTTTTTTCAGTAATGAATCCCAAAGATTATGTGTACAGATCTCTAGGCTGTAACTTAAAGCTTCTAAATGAAGACTGCTTGGAAGCGCAAATGATTTTACAGTATATCCATAATACATGTAAGATTTATTTTTCCTCTGGCAGAAATTTATTGATACATATTTTCTTTTATATTTTTTCCTTGCTTAATTCAAGAGGTATTACAGCTAATTAACACGTTCACGCCGTGGCCGATTTTTATGTTCTTCACTGTGAGACAGTGCTCGAATTTTTGCCACGTTTCATCTTTTGGCGTGCGATTATTACCTGTTCAAACCTGTATATGAGTTGTACATTTGCTAATAATTATTAATTATAATTGTTATTAAAAAAAGTTTTTATAATAAATAAACCTTAATTTTTTATTATTTTAATTTTCAGCATCTAATAACACAATCAAATGCGTACCATCGGTGGCACACGCCGCACGATAAAGCAGACTAGTGCGGGCCACTGGTGGCTCACCCGGTGTGAGCGTGTTATACTTTTTTTTTTTTTTTTTTTTTTTTTTTTTTTTTATCATCTTACAGGTGCTAATGTGTAGTCATTCCTTTTATTTGTAGTGATGATATACAAAGATGTGATTGTGCATCAAATTGAATTACATACAATAGTCATTTTTAAATCTCTAATGTTTTTGTTAATTTGAAAATTGTACCTCCTTTGTTAAATAGATGCAATTTTATTTAATGCATTCTGTGTGATAAAAAATATCCAGACACATATTATTGTAACTAGTGGCTTGTCATGTAACATCATAACTATGGCTCTGATAAATACTGAATACCATACATATTCAATTTATACATTTAGGTAAGTAGTATTTGTCAATGACTTATCCAGTATAACATTTAGACTTTCACCATAAAATAATGCAGCATTACTTAGCAGCAGGTAATGGAAAAATTTGCACTCTTTCTATTCATATGTATTGATTGGTATTGTGAAGTTCAGGTTCTCAGGAAATACAGCAAAACATTTGAAAACTTAAAGGCCGCATGAAAGAGTTGCATTGTAGGTATTAAAGTGTGGAATAATACAAAAGCACTATCAGGTTTCAGTAAATTTCATAAAGCTTCATGGCTGTTTATTAAAATTTTCAAGAAATGTAATTATGTACAACTAATTCCATTTTCAGTAAATCATGATGCTTCAGTAATGTTGGAAGAAAAGTGTTAATATTCTTGCCAGTAAGTTCTTTCTGGTCTGGCAATGATTTAACACTTCTCTGTATCTTCTTCCAGACCTGCATTGGAATTAGTTTGATAAAAAGTTTGCCATTGAAGTTAGATAATATTGTTGACTGGCCAAAGTGTGCGATTCACATTGAGCAATTTGATTTGTCAGAAACATCACCGAGCTCTTTATGAATAAAATGTGAACAGCAGTCTCGGTTGCACTAATTAACACCCATCATAATAGCATTCATTTCCTCTCAAGAAAGGAATATGTTTCTAGTTATTATTTTCAAATTGTAACTAATTTCTTACTCTATTATTCTATTTATTTTTACTAAAGTGTAATTTCTGATCTGTTAACTATGTTATAATCTTTTAAAATTGCTGACTGCATTTTTCAAAAATATTAATTTTTGTGATTTAACCATAAAATTGAAATTTGCAGTGCAGTTGTGAAAGGAAATAATGTTCAGTTTTAAAGCTGTGAAATTATTTCTTTGTTATTGAATTATATTTTATTTTTAGTTATGCTAATATTTCTGATGCATATTGCATACTTTTTCACTGTATTAGAAATAGGGAAATTTTTAAATTTTGCTGAAGAAATTTCTAGTTTTAAAAAATTGATTGGTTTCAAAACCAGTTAATTCTTAAAAAGTGGAAATTTTATATTAAAATTTCTAGTATATTGGTAATGTATTCATGTATAAATTTTAATTATTTCTTGAATAATTGAAATCATGAATTGTTAATATAATAATTTGGATTCTTATAAATATATAATATTTTTATGCAGCTCTTAGGAAAAAGCCGAAAGTGCAGTCTATATACTCAGTCTATATACCTGACCAAAGTGAGAAATTTAAGAGCATTAGGCTATCTAATCATATGCTGTTATGGCATGGAACTCGTCTTTCTAATTTTCTTGCAATTCTGTCACGTGGCTTGCAAGTAGCTCCATTAGGTGTACAAATGCAGGGTGATCTGTTTGGAAAGGTTTGTGTGGAAATTGCTTCTCTTAGCCTTTTTATCTGTGGATTTTGGTGTTTAGCCTTTTTAACTGTTGATTTTAATGATTATATTTTTAGTGATTTTATGTGTAATGTGTATAAATTTTTAATTCTGTGATTCATATTGTTGTCTCTTGCATATGCTCTGCATTATGCATGCAGTGCATTGAAATATAGATATGAAATAATATCATTCATAAAAATAAAAAGCTTTGAAATCATGATAAATTTAATAAAGAGTAATGCTTTTTTACAATTTTATTCTTTGCATTTTTGTCCAGTTCTCAGAAGCAAAGACTTTAAGTTTAGAAAATATAAAACTTAACGTAATTAAACACCTGTTAAACCATGTAAATCCAATGGAAACTTCAGAGCTAAAAAACCAAGTCGTCTTGAAATTATTGTATATTGATATTACTTGTGCATTAATTTTAAGGTATTTTATTAGATAAGTATATTTTGTTGTATAAGTGTGCAGACTTATAGTTAAAATAAGTAATTATATGAATTTAACCCTCTGACTGGCCGGGGTTTTTGCTAAGAAAGCACACATTTCCAAAAACTATTATGTGAAAAAATTATTTTCTTGATTTTTATGTAAAAATTCTTTTTTATACCTGAATTTCTTTACTTTTAATATATTACCTTAATTTTTTTGACATATTTTAATATGCACACGTTCTTACAGATATCACAAAAAATATTCTAGGTCATATATATATGTATATATAACTGGCAAGGCCATATATATATATATATATATAATGGGATATATTTGTTTGCTATTAGCAAAAATGAAGGAAAATGAAAAAATTGTTTTAATACTTACAGATTGCAAAGTCATTTCTAATGAAAGGACTATTCAAGAGTATAGAGGACTGGTATTAAATAAAATTGTACAATGTGACATGTTTGTCTCTCTTGAAGGAATTTCACTGCTTGTTTCCCTTTTGGGGTAGAAGAAGGATAACCTTACTTTGTATAAAAAGAAACGTATGAACTATTTCAACCGGTGTTTCAGTATGTATGTGTGTGTGCGAAGGGGTGATATTTTAGTGTACTTCACAGTAATGGATGTTTATAGCAAATAATCAGAAAACAGTAACTTCATATTTATATCTAAATTTGGATGCTAGTAGTTTAGCTAAAATTCTTGCCTTGCTTGAAGTACATGGTTTTCGTACGGTCTTCAAGAGTCCTTAAAAGTCCTTAGGTTTTTTAGAATCAATTTTTGGTCCTTTAAAATCCTGGCCAAAATCAGCAGGAGGTCTTTAATTTTAATCATCTGAAATTTCTGCCTGTTTTTACAAATGCCATTTTGAGTGTGAATTAACATTTTGCAGGAATATTTTTGGGTATTCATAAATATGATTATTTTTTGAAAGGATTCATGGGTTACAATTTGTTCCTATTTCTTATATAAATAGTGGGACACTCAAGTTTCTGGGTGAGAAGTGAAACATAAGCATTTCAAAATTATTTCATTTTTTTCTAATGAAGAGCTCTTTAAACAACTTTTCGCTTTTGGGTATGTGAATTCTTCTATTAAACGGCTCTAAATTTGGTAACTTATGAAAATTTTGGCGAATTTAATATCAATTTCTGAAAAAAATTTTTAATACGGAGATCTGGTTAATTTTTCAACTACTTTTTTAAAACATTGGTAAATTTCATTAAAGTAATGGTTTTGAAACTATATTTAATAAATAGCATTAATATAATATTTTTACTTTTTTGCTCTCATATTATAAAGTGATGTCATTTTCTCTTTTGGTGACTTATAGAATACAGTCAGAAGTCTTTAATCCGGACGTCCATAATCCGGAATGATCCATAGTCTGGACCTCAAAACTACAAACATGCATCAGTACGTAGTGCATTAATGCATGTGCATAATACGTTTACACATGCGCGTTTAATGTATAACGGACGGAATAAGCTAAGCTAAAATTACCTAATTATCTATTTCAGTTAATGTTGCAGATTGCGTTGTTCCTTAATCTTCTAATTGGATCCGGCTTATTATATTTTCCAGACTGTTAGAGCAATTTTATAACAGTAAGCTTGAACTTTCGATTATCTCAAAAAGAATTGCCGATTCTGGAGCTACCAAAGCATCTACAAAGCGAAAGCATGTTTCGATGTCCATCAAACAAAAAGTAGAATTGCTGCAAAAAATGGATAAAGGCATATCCTTTGATTCTCTAATCATTTCGAAATATGTTTATCAATTTCACACTGCTCTGTGGGGGGGGGATGACGCAGCGCGCAATGAACTGGATGTTGATCTGTCAGCGCTGTCCTTATCTACAGGGCAGGCTTAAAATTCCTTACTAAATGTAGTATTTCATCTCGGTGTACTCCGTCTTTGATATGATTTAAGTCATATTCCTCATCATTATAAATATCAGGAATACACATCAAATAGTTTTTTGGTTGCAATTTTCTAATTTCGGCTATGCGTAATGTATGCTTTACGCATGCGCACGTTGAAAGAAATGTTTAATAAAGTAAACAAATAAATATAAAGCTCTTTTTTTTTCTTTTTTTTTTTTTTTTTTTTTTTTTTTTTGTAAATTTTTATACCCTTTAGATCATAATTGCTCTTTATTTCACAAATTACGGTTTCATATTTTTAATTTTATAATTTCTGCATGCCATCTTACCAGATTTAAATTTGTGATCTATAATCCGGAATTGCCGAAGTCCCGACGACTCCGAATTAAAGTCTTTTGACTGTATTTTGAATCAGAAGAATAAACAAGGCTAATAAATGCTATAAAGCACAGTTTACGAAGCAGTTCTTAGCAAAAGCAGAGTGATTATGTAATAATTTTAAAATGTCTCTTTACTTTTTTGTTTTAAGAGTTTTTTCCATGTAATTGTTCTCGGAGTCTTCAGAATTCTCACACTATGCATCAATATTCTGAATAAAATAAATTTTTCCTCTGCCCCTTCCCCCAAAAAAAATTTTTTTTCCCCTTACTTTTTGCTGTTACAGGATGTGTAGGGGTAATTTTATCACTAGGATTTTTAGAGTGGCTACTTGCAAAGTTTAGAAGGATTTGAAGGCAAGATAGAGACACACTTCAAGATGATTACAGAAAAATGTCACAAAATAAAAAATGTCTCCATGGTATTAATACGTTGTGGCAATCTAATGTTCGAGTGCGTGCGCAGCCAATCCAGGTCATGTGATTTATGTAAAAACTGCTAGCACGGCAGTGAACTCACTCACTTCGCCCTTAGCTGCAGCATAGAATGTTTGAATTTTAGTTTAGTGGTTTTTGTTATTCGTTCTGTTATTTCAGTTGTGTTTAAAGTTATGGTATGTGTGAATAAAGGTTATGTTTAGGGAAATGGAGACATGTCAATTCAAGGATATACACCAAGCCACCATAAAATGGTGACCCGGCATCTACGATCAGGAAATGGCAATCCGGCTACTCGCATGAAGCGATTACTGGTTGTTCGTGTAAGAGTTTGGCTCCAGAGCTTTTGTGTTTTTCCCTTCAGCCACAGACATGGAGGAAACAGCAGCAGTCAAGATTCCAATTTACAATCCAATTCACCCGGCACTGTGGTTTGCTATATGTGAAGCAACTTTTGCTTTAGCTGCACTCACCATGCCTATCACAGATTCAAAGACAAAATTTAACTACTGTGTCGCTCATTTGCCGCCGGAAATTGCTGCGTTGTTTAGAGATATCATTCTCCGTAAACGTACAGATTCTTCTTACGAAGACCTCAAAGCTGCTATTACAGAATGCTGCGGTGAAAGCAGTACGAAATTACTCACCGGCGAGCAACTTGGAGATAGAAAGCTCAGAACTTCTATGAGTAATGACTAGGGCTAAAAAATACAACGTGCCTGACTCTGTTACTGGAATTATTGATGCACCAGATGCCACCAAATGTTCAGTCTATTCTAGCGTCGGTTGAGCCGCTCGATTCATCGAAAGCTGCCAGTATCGCGGATAGAATATTGGAAGTTACACCCGCTCAGGTAAGCGAAGTTTCGTCTCGTGTACCTCTCAATGTCTCTGAGAATTCTAAATTGGATTCCCTGCTGGAAGAAATGTGCAAATTGCGTAGCGAGGTTTTGTCTCTACAACGATCACACAGTGTTTCAAAAAATCGCTATAACAGGTAGCGAAACCCTTCAGCTAAAGCTGCTTCGAACTGTTCCTATTGTTGGTATCATTATAAATTCAGTAACAAAGCTAAAAAGTGTGTTCCACCATGTACATTCCAGGGAAAGTGTAGTGGCAACATGTGCTTTACACTCTGAGTCTCGTCGCCTTTTCATTAGAGACAGGAAATCGAATAGAATATTTTTGTGTGACACTGACTCAGACGTCAGTCTTCTTTCAGCAACCAGACAGGAAGCGCGTCAAACATCTATTATGATGTTTTCTGCAGCAAATGGTACCCCCTATTCCAGTTTATGGACAAAAAGCATTAAGTATTGACCTTACACTTTGTCATAATTTTAATTTTACTTTTTATGAGTGTAAAGTGTCAACAAATATTATTGGATCTGATTTCTTGCATTATTTTGATTTATTACCTGATTTAAGGAACAAAAAACTTGTTGATTTAAAAACACATTTAAAAATTAACTGCAGTGTAATTAACACACATTTATATTCGTTAAATTAAAACAATTATTACATATCTATTTATGATAAATTACTGTCTAACTATCCATCATTGTCAAAGCTTCCTGATCTCAATGAGATTGTTAGCATAATACTATGTATTTCATTGAAACCATTGGTCCTGCCTGTTTCATGTAAGCCAAGAAGATTAGCTCCAGATAGATTAAAAATTGCTAAGCATGAAATTCAGAAAATGATCAATTTAGGTCATATGCAACCCTCCAAAAGTAATTACTCCTCTCCTCTTCACATGGTGTCAAAAAAGGGCACAAACGAATTGAGACCTGTGGGAGATTTTCGGAGGTTAAACGCTCAGACAGTGAAGGTTAACCCCTTAACTGCCGTGGGCGTATATATACGCCTTGCTCAGCCGATGCGTTAACTTTGCGAATAATTTTAGGTGTAGCAGCGCAAAGCAAATGATAGCAGTTTGGAAGGACGTATATATACGCCTGGGGCAGTTAACGCATCGGCTGAGCAAGGCGTATATATACGCCCGCGGCAGTTAAGGGGTTAAGTATCATATTCCCAATATTTGCGATTTTGCAGCGGAGTTACATGGAACAAAGGTTTTTTCTCGATTAGATTTAGTTAAAGCATATCACCAAATTCCAGTTAATCCCTCTGATATCCATAAAACGGCTATTGCCACTCCTTTTGTACTTTCTGAGAGCACAAGAATGCAATTTGGGTTATGCGATGCAGCTGCAACCTTTCAACGCTTTATTGATGAAGCAACTCACGAGCTGCCAGAAGTATTTGCTTTTGTCAATGATATATTGATAGCGTCAAAAGACGAAAATGAGCATTTGATACACTTAGAAGCCCTTTTTGAAAGATTAAGTAATTATGGGTTAAGACTTAATGTATCTAAATGCAGTTTTGGTTGAACTTCTTTGGAATTTTTGGGGTTTTCATGTATCTGAACAGGGTTTAAAACCTTTACCCGACAGGGTAGAAGCCATTCAAAAATTTCCTAAACCAAACACATTAACTCAGTTAAGGAAAATTTGTTGGCATATTTATCATTTTTACAGACGTTTTGTCCCAAGAGCTTCACATCGTTTTAGCTTCCTTGAATAGGTTACTGGAAAAGCCGCATTAATAAAGGAAACCTTCACAACCAAGCAAAACAAAAGAATATCCTCTTGAATGGGACGACAAAGATCCGAGAATGCATTCGAAAATGCAAAAAAGGCAATTGCTGAGGCAACCCTTCTCAAACATCCAATTCCTGGTGCAACTTTGAAACTTTTTACTGATGCATCGGACGTTGCGGTTGGTAGCTCATTAATGCAACTGCATAATTCAGTTTGGGAACCCATTATGTTTCTATCCGTTAAACTCAGCAGAAGTCAAAGGAAATGGTCAACTTATGATCGAGAACTATTGGCAATTTATTTGTCTGTTAGGAAGTTTCAGCACATGCTTGAAGGCAGGGTCTTTACAATCTACACTGACCAAAAGCCCTTAATATATGCTTTTAAGCAGAAGCCCGAAAAGTGTTCTCCACAACAACTTCATTATCTTGATTTTATTGGCCAATTTTCCACTGACATACGATACATCAAAGGTCGTGAGAATATCGTTGCTGATGCCTTATCTAGGGTAGAAATAGATGCAGTATCTGATTATCAACACATTGATTATAAAAAGTTATCCGAAGCACAAATTCAGGACTCTGAAATTCAAAATTCCTTATCTCAATCTTCACCAGTTTTTAAACTTGAAAAACATTACTTTCCTTTAGAAGATGTTACTCTTTACTGTAATATGGACACAGGTATACCTCGACCGTTCATACCTGAATCTTTTCGCTCTAAAATATTTCAGAAGATTCACTGTCTTTCTCATGCTGGTATTTCAACTTCAACAAAATTAATTACTAAGCACTATTTTTGGCCTAATATGAAGAAATTTATTAAAACTGCAGTTCAATCATGTCTAATGTGCCAACGTTCTAAAATTCATAGGCATACAAAATCACCGTTGGGTACCTTTTCCTTGCCTGATGCAAGATTTGCACATATCCATATTTGATTTCATAGGTCCTCTTCCACTGTCTGAAGGAAACCGTTATTGCATGACAATTATTGACAGGTTTACCAGATGGCCAGAAGTCATACCTACTGTCGACATGTCAGCTCAGGCGACTTGTAAAGTGTTAGTGCCATAACTGGATAGCAAGATTTGGCTGCCCGGTATCAATAACAACTGATCAAGGCCGAAATTTTGAATCTCACTTATTTAAGGATTTAATGAAAATTTTGGGACACATCGCATTAGAACTACTGCTTATCATTCTCAGTCCAATGGACTGATTGAGAGATTTCATAGGCAACTTAAAAGTTCAATAATGGCTCACAATAACCCAAAATGGACTGAAATTCTGCCTATTGTTCTGTTGGATATTAGATCTGCCATTAAGAAAGATATAAATGCTACTTGTGCTGAACTTGTCTATGGTACTACACTTGGATTACCCTCAGATATGCTGAATGCTACAAATATTTTATCGCCTACTGAATCTTATGTGTCACAACATCAATCAGTCATGCATTTAGTTAGACCTATTCCAACCTCTAGGCATATTCAATCATCAATTTATGTACATCCAGCACTTCAAACCTGTTCTCATGTATTTCTATGTATTGATTCTGTTAAACCACCTCTAACTCCACCTTATACTGGTCCTCATACTGTGGTTAAACAAATGGATAAAAATTTATTATTGAGGTAAATAACAAAATGATTACAGTTACAATCGATCGTTTAAAACCAGCATATATGTTGTCAGTATGTATAAATTCACCTGTAATTCCTCAGTTTCCACAGGAAGTCTGCGAAGACTCAAAAATTGTTCCAAAACAAGTAGTTACCCGCAGTGGATGTCGTGTTCATTTTCCTAAAAAACTAATTACTGTAATATGATTAAAGTTTTCTCTTGTGGTTTGCTGCAAATGTTACATAGGGTATAGATACTATTTGAATTAATTTTTTTACATATGTATTGAGTTATATAAAATGAATCTATTAACTTTTCATTATTTTTGTTTAACTAAGTTATGCATTGTATGGGTATATATTCCAATCGGAATTGTAAATGTATTATTACTATTCATATATTTGCATTTCCTTTTGTATGTACAATTTTAAAGTATAACTGTTATTTGAATGTGCATATCTTAAACAGCCAACCCCTTTTGTGTTGCGACTGTGTCACTGGGGTGATACTCTGTGGCAATCTAATGTTCGATTGCGTGCGCAGCCAATCCACGTCATGTGGTTTATGTAAAAACTGCTAGCTCGGCAGTGAACTCGCTCACTTCGCCCTTAGCTGCAACATAGGATGTTTGAATTTTAGTTCAGTGTTTTTTGTTATTCGTTTTGGTATTTCAGTTGTGTTTTAAGTTATGGTGTGTGTGAATAAAGGTTATGTTTAAGGAAATTGAGTTATGTCAATTCAAGGATATACATCAAGCACATAACCACCACGCCACCATAACGTAATGGATCTATTTTAAGAGTGTTTTTGATGAATTTCTTACTTTTTGGAGAATTTTTGGAAGAATAATGAAAACATAATATTTGAGTGTTTTACATTTGATACTAGAAGTCTTTTCTTAACATGTTTTATCTTCTCTTTATTTTATCTCCTTTTCACTGTGCACAAACATGAAACATCAAAAATGCTTCAAATCTTCTCACATGGAAAGGCATTTATAGAAAGGATGTTTTCTATTAATAAAGAAATTGAAAAATAACAATTTTATATGTCTCAGTGCATCATATGCGGGGCTGGTGCTAGGCATTTTGCTACCTGTTGCAACCTCTGTGGAACCTAGATTCTGCTCCCAGTGTCTGTTATTTTCATGTGACTATGGATTAACTTAATGTTTAAAGGCCTAAAAATAACCTTTTATAGCAGCATTAAATCCTGCAAGCGTGGTTGGCTAGTGAATTTCTAATTAATTACTGAAAAATTGTATGTCTTAAAATACTACCTTTTCTTTGAGTTTTTTGTAAAATTTTCATTTAACTAAAATAGTATAGATTTCATTGTTTAATTAAAGTTTTTGATGTTTATGTAGGGAATTTACTTTGCGGATATGTTTACAAAAAGTCAGAAGTATTGTCTTCAAAATAATTCTTCAAATACAAAATGTATTCTTCTTTGTGAGGTAAGTAATATTTATCTTTAAAAATACACTTGTTTGTATGTTAGTTCCACATTAACAGATTTGCTGCAATTTTAGATATTTCAGACTTGGTAAAATTTCTAACTAAAACTGAAACTAGGCATTTTGTTAAATTTAAAGCAAATTCTTGCCTTGTAGTGCTTTGCTTCCTTAATTGCAAGGTGATTGTTATGTTGGTTTTGTATATTGTTTAATAACAAAGAGTGTTGTCAGTTGTCAAACTATTTCAACAAGTTTGACATATGAAGAATATTAACATAATAATAGACAAAAGTAAATTAATATTAATTATTTTTTCCATAATTCATAATTAAATGTTACATATTTATTTATATTTTCCAATGAATTATTGAAATGTACCATTTGAATTAATTTCTTAATTCTTTATATGCAAATACACTGGTTTATATTGCCTCATTTTTACACTCATTTACTATAACACTTGTTTAAAACTCAATTTGTGAAAATTCAAAATTTCATACTTTTTGTATCAAAAAGCAGCTGATTTTTACTTTTTAATAAGAGTAATTTTGGAAAAGATACATATATATGTAACATATAAGAAAATGCGATAGCTGTTTTAAAAATAATTGCCGACATCAAAATCAACATTCTAGATTTGGGGATCTTATAAATTTATCTGCTCTCCTAAATTTGAGAATCTTCTATGTTATGTAACAACCTCAAATTAACTAGTCACAGATTAGCTCTACTTATACCTCAGACTTTGTATAAATATCCACTTGTTAACTTACTGTGTCATTTCCTTTTAAAAAGCCAATGTACATAGAAATTTATCATTTTTAATTATGATTGAATAAGTGTCTGCAAAAGTAATTGGATATGTGTGAAAATAAAGGCTAAACAAAATTCAGTTTTGTTGCCTTCATCTGCACCTTAACCACCAGCCACAACTGCTATCGAAAGCTGTTAAGAGTTCCAGGCTTTGACTGTGCATTCTAAATCATGGCGCATATATATATATTTTATATATATATATGTATGTCATGATTATATGTATATATATATATATTAAATCATGACATATATATATATATGTGTCATGATTATATATATATATGTGGTAGGGGAGTTGAAGATTCTTTGCTAGGGTCAATTAACAAGTTTAATGTTTTCCACACAGAACATTCAATAAAAATAACAGAAGAAGGTACCTTAAATCGAGTCACAGTGCTGTTTGATACAAACAGGTTTCCACATTATCACTTTTACCAATTTTATAACATAGCAGCTTAGTGCCTTACTCGCACTTGCTGTCATATATGCAGTTCAATTTACCACCTTCACGTGAAAACATAGAGTTCGTTATTTAACCACCTTCTCGGAGAGACAGCTGTTAGCAATTAATTAGTTCCTTTATTAAAAACACATTCCAAAATTCTTCTTCAAAACATTAATTGTTAAATACTTGCTTTATTCAGTAACATTACTGATCAAAAACTTACAGTTCAAAATATTATCGTTCTGAAAAAAACTGTTGTTGCCAATCGAGAAAATACATTTTAAATAAAATTAATACGTTGCGTTTACATTTGGGCATCCTGACTTAGTTACGACCTCGGAACATTAAGAACTTATATTTAAAAAATTAAATCTCTAATATTAATGTTTATAGTTCGAAAGTCTTTAGCTGTCATATAGATTCACCGTCGTTTTCTATTCTTTTTCCGTGTCCTAGTTTTAGTAATATGCGGCGTGTTGTTATCGTTATCCCCAGTAACACTAATGTCATCACCATCATCATCGTCTTCTTCTGATTCAGCTTGACACTGCCATGACTTTAATTGGCTCACATGAGCTGTCGTACTAAAGAAATGTCCTTTCACCTTCTCTTCTAATTGAGTCACTCTATAGGTATCACTTGGTAAAAACTTCTGTAACTACCAAAGGTCCTCGATACTTTTGTTGTGTTTTGGTTGATTCTCCAGTTGATTTAGGTACTCTTCTCATAACTACTATTTCTCCTCGTTCGAATGTTAAAGAATTGCTTTTCTTCTTGTCATAATTTGCTTTCATTTTCATCTGCATATCTTCAATTCTCTTTCTAGCTTCATTCTGTAAGATTACTGGATTCTCCCATTCATCTGCGTCTTCATCTGTAATCATCCTCATCAATCCGTCGTTAAATTTTGGTGAATAACCGTGAAGCATTTCGAAAGGAGTTTTATTTGTAGTCTTATTTATCATATTGTTTAAATTTTTTTGCATTCCTTAATCTTTTTGTCCCAGTCTCTCTGATTCGGATTTTCCATACTCGTTTTAATCGTAGCCAAAATTGTTCGATTTGCTCTTTCCACCATTCCATTACCACTTGGATGCTGAGTTGAATTGAGTGTATGACTGATTCCATTATTTTGACAGTACTCTCGAAATTCCTTCGCTGTGAAACATGTTCCTCTATCGCTGATAATTTTTTTCTGGTAACCCAAAATCATCTACAAAACTCTTCAATGCAACTAACACATACTTGGTTGCAGTACTTTTCATAGGATATAAGCGTGTAAATCTCGTAAAAATTATCAATTATTACAAATAATTCTGTATTTCCTCTTGAACTTTTTACGAATGGTCCTAAATGATCTATATGTATAATTGCAAAAGGTCTTCTACCAGGTCTAATTGGATGCAGTACTCCTTGTTTCTTACCACTAGGCATTTTATTTACTAGGCATTCGAAACACATCGAAATGTGACGCATAACATATCGTTTCATTCCTTTAAACCAGTATGATTCCTTGATTTTGGCAACAGTTCTGTCTGCTGAAAAATGTCCCAAAAGATCGTGAAATTTTACTACAATACCTTTTCTCATCGATTTAGGTATGACATATAACAATTTCTCCTTTTCCTGATCTTTCACTTTACGAAACAATCGATTATTCTTCAAGACGTAATTTTCAGTTACATATTTCTCTGCATTCGTTCTATCATTTATCTTTTTCTTTAAAATGTCTATTAATTTGCGTAATTCTGGATCTGAATGCTGAATCATAAGAATTTGTTCATCTATCGTTAGCGTTAAACAAACTTCCAAGTTGTTTTCAATTATAGAGTCTAAAGTTTCTTCTGGCTGATCAACTGGCGATCGGCTCAATGCATCTATGTGACTCATTTTTTTGCCTTGCCTGTGCTTTATTTCAAGATTGTATTCCTGGATCAGATTACTCCACCTTGCTATCTGAGGATTTGAAGTTTTCTTCGCGTTTAAATAAACTAAAGCTTGGCAGTCTGTAATTACCGTAAATCGGATTCCAATTAAAAATTGTCAAAGTCGTGTCAAAGTCCAAAACTATAGCCATTAATTCTAATTTGCTTGAATGATAATTCTTTTCTGTTTCTGTTGTTCCCTTTACTTACACAATAAACTAAATGCCACTTTCTATCTTCACCTTTTTGCAACAGCATTCCTGCCAGTCCCTTTGTTGCTTGCGTCTGTGTGCACTTCAGTCTCTGCTTCGGGATTATATAATGCTAGTATTGGTTCATTAGTTAAATGATCCTTTAAAGTACTGAATGCTTCTTGCTGATCTTCGTTCCAACGAAATGTTTCATCCTTCCTCGTCAGTCTCGTTAGCGGCTCAGCTTTCTCTGCGTATTTCGGTACAAACCTTCTAAAGAAACTTGTAAGACCTAAAAATTGTTTAACTTCATGTTCATTGGTTGGTTTAGGAAAGTTTAATATGGCTCGTACTTTTCTTGGTCCAGGTTGCATACCATTTGATTTTATTAGAAATCCCAAATACTCAACTTCATCTTTTCCAAATTCGCATTTTGTCAGTTTCAATGTCAGCATTGCTTCTCTCAATCTATCAAACACTTTCCTAAGTTTTTCCATCATTTCTTCCCAAGATTTAGCCGGAATTAATATGTCGTCCAAATAGCACAATACTTCTTTATTAAGCAATGGACCTAAAACTTGATTCATAAGTCTCTGAAATTCTGCAGGTGCATTAGCTAACCCAAAGATCATATGTTCAAATTGACCAGTATCATCTGGAGTGATGAAAGCTGTTTTCAGTTTCGCTTCTTCAGTTAAAGGAATCTGCAAATATCCATGAGCTAAGTCCAATGTAGTGAAAACTTTACACTCACTAAGACATTCAAGAAGATCATGTAGTGAAAACTTTACACTCACTAAGACATTCAAGAAGATCATCTATCCTAGGGAGTGGAAATTTATCTTTAACAGTTTGCGAATTCAACTTTCTATAATCTATCGCTAATCGTAATTCACCTGTTTTTTTCTTTACGAGTAAAACTGGACTAGCATACGGAGATCTTGTTTCAGTAACAATTCCATATTTCTTCCATTCATTTATTATCTTCTTTATAGAAGCACGCTCTTCGGCATTGGTTTTATACGACTTCATGCAAATAGGCTTACTCCCTTCAATTTCTTTAATATCCATTTTTGTTAAGTTTGTACACCCTAATTCCTCCATATTTAATGCAAAACAATCTCGATACTCATTTATCAAATGTAAAACTTCCTGTTTTCTCTCTGGCGTAATATTGTTATTAACTTTAATTTCTTCTAAAGTAATCGGTCTCCTAAACTTCTTAATTTCATTTATTATCAGTATTTCCTTTTGACTTGAATTTTCAGTTTTCTGATCTGAACTTGGTTCAACTAATTCTGCTACTTCCGCTCTACCGATACATTGATTCTCTTTCAAAATTAGTTTTTCGATCGCTGTAGTTAGTGACTGGTATCACTGTTTCTCCCTGTATTACTTCCAATAATGAGCCTAACTCATCTTCCGATCCACTTATTAAAACATAACCGTTATTTATTTCATCAGTTTTAACTTTCACGAAATTAACCGTATTACTTTCGATTTGAGTTTCTTGGGAAGCCTTCAGTTTAATTCGCGGAGTGTTGCTATCATTTTGCAACTGTGAAAATGGGCAGTCATTAGCATAGCGTATGTGCAAGGTATTTCCTATCTTGGCGTATGCAA